ACAGAATAGGAAACAGGGAAACAGCGTTGCAATCCACCGCTTTACCAAGATCGGTCGACCGGCCAGAGCGAAAAACAATTACAGTGTCCTGTGCACATTTACGGTCGACCGCAGCGGCCACGCCGGTCGACCGACCAGAACGAAAATTTCTTCTCAGTCTCCTGCAGTGCACGCGGTCGATCGGATCTGTCACAGCGGTCGACCGCACAGTCTTCTAATTGTTTTCTTCGTCTTTTCGATTGCAGCTTCGGGTCTACACACTTAGACTAACAATCTCCCACTTGGAGACCAAAGCGCCATCAACGAGCTCACCCGAACTCTCCCATTCTTCGCATGTATCTTTTCCCTGAAAAATTCTTTCTTCAATCAACATCACGGCGATCGCGTCGATCCTCGTAGTGTGGCTCCGCCTTCGTCTTCTACTCGTGAAGGCCAACTGAAGTTGCGCACAATTTCAGTTTCTCAATGGTGACTGCCTTTGTCAACATGTCCGCCGGATTTTGACTCCCCAAAATCTTCATTAAATGCAACTTTCCATCCTCGATCAGCGAGCGTATGAAATGATATCGTACGTCGATGTGCTTCGTTCTGGCATGATATACTGGATTCTTGGCAAGATGTATAGCGCTCTGACTATCATAATAAAGTACTCTTCTCCCTTGCTTCAGATCCAACTCTTCCAAGCACCCGTTCAACCAGATCATCTCCTTGCTTGCTTCAGTCACCGCGACATACTCAGCCTCGGTTGTAGACAAAGTCACAATCTTCTGCAGACGTGAGACCCAGCTCACTGCTGTCGACGCTAAGGTATAAACATACCCCGTGGTGCTTCGCCTCGTATCATGATCACCGGCGAAGTCCGCATCCACGTATCCCTGCAGCACCAACTCCTTCCTCCTAAAACATAGTGGTTTGTTTGTTGTCCCCCTCAAGTACCACATTATCCACTTCACGGCCTCCCAATGCTGCTTCCCTGGATTGCTTGCAAATCTACTCACAACTCCCACTGCATGAGCGATGTCCGGCCTCGTGCAAACCATCGCGTACATGAGACTCCCAATGGCCGAAGAATATGACACCCTGCTCATATGCTCTCTATCTGCATTTGTCTTAGACGATTGCTCCTCAGATAGCTTGAACTGACTTCCAGGGGGTGTGCTAACAATTTTAGCATTCTGCATATTGAACTTCTGAAGTACCTTCTCGGTATATTCAGCTTGGCTCTACCTCAACGTCCCTTCAGCTTCATCCCTACTGATTCGCATCCTTAGAATCTGCTTTGCTGCACCAAGATCCTTCATTGCAAATTTCTTTGCTAGCTGCTTCTTCAAACTGTTTATCTCTTCCAAACGTGGTCCTGCTACCAACATGTCATCAACATATAATAACAAAATAATAAAGCTGAACTCGAACCTTTTGAAATAACAGCAATGATCCGAATTGTATCTTCTGTAGCCATTGTTCTGCATGAAGTTATCAAACTTCTTATACCACTGTCTCGGAGCCTGTTTCAAACCATATAAGCTCTTCTTGAGCTTGCACATCATCTCTTCCTTTCCTTCTTCAATGAAGCCAACAGGCTGTTTCATGTAGATTTCTTCATCCAAGTCACCATGAAGAAAGGCAGTCTTCACATCCAACTACTCAAGAAAGAGATCTTCTGCAGCCACCAAGCTCAACACCATTCTGATGGTAGTTAGCTTCACAACAGGCAAAAATATCTCCGTGTAGTCCACTCCTTCCCGCTGTTGAAACCCCTTCACGACTAGTATGGCCTTATACCTCTTGCTTCCATCACTCTCCTGTTTGACCCGGTAGACCTATTTATTGTGCAAGGCTTTCTTCTGCGCAGGTAGCTGGGCTAACTCCCATGTCTCATTAGTGAGTAAAGAATCCATCTCCTACTGCATCGCATGCTCCCACTGCTGAGATTCACTCACTTGCACTGCCTCTTCATAACACTCCGGATCTCCGCAATCTGTTAAGAGTAAATAATCAAGTGGCGAGAGGTATTTGGGATTTGGTTTGGGTACCCTGGATAACCTCCTAAGCTCCACGCCCTGGGTAGTAGCTTCTGCACCTGTAGTCTCCTCCGTTCTACGGTCAGAACTGATATTGTCGCCCCCATCTGAAAGTTCCTCCAAATCCATGTACTCGGATCCACCTGTGTCCGTAGTACTGCTCCCACTGCTTTGGCTATCCTTGGCATTGTCTCTGTCCTTGTACATCACCTCCTCATTGAATATCACATCCCGGCTTCTGATGATCTTCCTGTTCTTCTCATCCCACAGACGATACCCGAACTCATCAACACCATATCCAATGATGATATGAACATATGCCACGCAGCCAAATACTCACAAGTGTGAGAGATTTATCTTCTTGCCACTCCAAACCTCCTCTGGAATCCCAAAATCTAATGGAACTGATGGCCCGTGATTAATCAGGTAGGCTGTCGTATGCACCGCATCCGCCTAAAATATCTTAGGTAGACCTGCATGTAATCGCATGCTCCGCACACGCTCAGTCAATGTCCTGTTCATTCTCTCTGCAATGTCGTTCTGTTGCGGTGTCCCTGGAGTGGTTCTCTCTAAACGAATCCCATTCATAGCACAGAACCTCTTGAACTCCTCCAGCTCGTATTCTCCACCATTATCTGATCTCAAGCACTTCACCTTCAGATCTGTCTCGTTCTCGACCATGGCCTTCCACTTCTTGAAGATTTCGAACACCTCTGACTTGTGCTTCATGAAGTAAACCCACACCTTCCTCGAGTGATCGTCGATAAAGGTGACGTAGTATCTCGAACCGCCAAAAGAAGACACACTGGCTGGGCCTCATACATCTGTATGAATCAACTCTAGCTTCTGAGCCTTAGGTGGCCTTCCACTCTTCTGAAAACTAACCCGCTTCTGCTTCCCAAAGATGCAGTCTTCACAAACTTCGACTTCAACGGCGTCGATCCCGGTTAGCTTTCCTTGTGAATGTAGGATTTTCATCCCCTTCTCGCTCATGTGTCCCAGCCTATTGTGCCACAGATCTGTACTCTCCTTGCCAGCTGCAATTGTGAGGGTGTCACTCGCATGTGAAGTGAGGTAGAAAGTTCCCGTTTTATTGCCACGGGCAACAACCATCGTACCGTTGGAGATTTTCCACGAATCCCCTGTAAATGTCGAAACGTAGCCTTCTGCTCCAAGCTGTCCTACCGAAACAAGATTCCTCTTCAACTTCGGCACGTGTCTCACGTTCTTCAAGTTCCACTTAGAGCCATTTATCTGTATCTGAACGTCGTCCTTTCCAACAATATTACAAGGCTCATTGTCCCCCAAATATACTTTACCAAAGTCCCATGCTACATAGTTCTGAAGTAGTTTCCTATTAGCTGTGGCGTGGAAAGAAGCTCCTGAGTCGATGACCCAAAAATCAGAATCGCTATCCATAGCAAGGATCAAGGCATCCTGCACGATATGAGCCTCCTGCTCACCCGCATCCTTCTTTGGAGCTTTACAGACCGAAGACATATGGTCCTCCTGACCGCAGTTCCAACACTTCCCTTTGATGGTTCTAACCTTTGAGTTTGACCTTTTCTTTACTGATTTCGACCGATTCCTGTTCTGGTTCCCTTTCTTCTGGCTTTTGCCTCTCTGCTCGAAACTTAGGGCTAAACCTGAACCTTCTGATTCAGACGATTTCCTTCTAACCTCCTCGGATAGAATCATGCTGACAACCTCACTCAGCTTTAACTTCTCTTTCCCCGCCGAATTGCTGATTGCCGTCACACAACCCGCCCAACAATCCGGCAACTGCGATAGTAGTAGAAGGGCCTGCACTTCGTCATCGAACATGATGTCCACAGAGATAAGTTGATCAACAATTGTGTTGAACTCGCTAAGGTGTATCTTGAAGGACCGTCCTTCAGCCATCTTGAGGTTGAAGAGAGTTTTGACTAGATGCACCTTGTTTGCTGCCGACGGTTGCTCGTACATCTTCACGAGCGCTTCCATAAGCCCCACCGTCGTCTTCTCCTTCAGAATATTGTGGGCTACTGATTTGACGAACGACAACCGGATTTGCCCTAGAGCCTTCCTATCCAGTACCTCCCAATCACCATCTGACTCTTCTTTCTTCTGCCCCTTTTCCTTGCCCATCAGCGGGCGATACAAGTCATTCTGGTACAGATAGTCCTCCATCTACGACTTCCAGTAGGCGAAGTCTGAACCGTCAAACTTCTCGATCTTTGATTTGTTTTCCTCTACCATGGCTTTCACATAAATTGCTGAACGAAGCTCTGATACCAGTTGTTGGGGATTCGAAACAATCAATCGAACCCTTGCCCTTCCGGACCTTGTGTTGAAAGTAGGAAAATATGAATAATACCACAAATAAAGATCTAACCTTGCAAGAATAGTAAAGGAGACGAACACACAGATTTAACGAGGTTCGGCAACGTGCCTACGTCCTCGGGAGCCACACCACACAATCTCTTTTATTAATTGAAGAAGAATACAATCTCTCAAACTAGGGTTTTATCTCTATGAGATTCTCTCTTTTTTGCAGTCAAAAAACTCTCTTTTTCGTGTCTTACAAACCCTAAAAACGTTTAGGTTCTTATAACAAACCCCAGCCAAACAGAATTCCTAAACAGAATAGGAAACAGCGTCGCGGTCGACCGCTTTACCAAGATCGGTCGACCGGCCAGAGCGAAAAACAATTACAGTATCCTGTGCACATTTACGGTCGACCGCAGCGGCCACGCCGGTCGACCGACCAGAACGAAAATTTCTTCTCAGTCTCCTGCAGTGCACGCGGTCGACCGAATCTGTCACAGCAGTCAACCGCACAGTCTTCTGATTGTTTTCTTCGTCTTTTCGATTGCAGCTTCGAGTCTACACACTTAGACTAACAGTACACAAAGGCTCGAAGGCAGTAACAACTCGTCAAACGTTCAATAAGGGAAGAGAGACGCACACGGGCACACACAAAAGAAAGGGGGAATAAAAAAGAAAATAGAAATCTAGGATGTAGCAGGTAAAATGGGCAGAATGATCCATAGGAAGATCATAATGTACATCAGAATGTTCAACAGTTCCCCACAATGTTGAAGACAAGCCAAAAACCCTCATAAAGCTTCCCAAACGTTAATGAACTAAACACGACAGGGATCATGAAAGAACGCTGATCCCACAAAATCTTTATTATACAGCTAAAAAGACAAGATAAAATAATAACAGCAACTTTACCTTTACAAATCAACTTCTAACAACTACTTACACTTCGATGAAGTTTTCTTAATCCTAAGAGGAATCTTCGGCTCACGATCTCTACTGCATTTAGTGCAGAACCAATCCCCCTCAGGTACAGCTTCAAGTGGAGGATTACAACAGTCAATATGAGTACCAATCCCACATCCAACAGAACCATCCTCATACCCACACATCAACATCACTTCCCCTCTATCATTCAATCCACACACAGAACAACTGATATCATCAACGCTCTCTTCCAAAGGCGAACAATCATCAGTGATAATCTCTTCTGATCGCCTCAACAAATTTGCATATGATTTCTCTGCCCAAGAATGTGTGTTGTATAGCACATGCATCTTCAAGGGGTAGCCAGGCTTGCAGATGTACTCCACAAGGTAATCAGCTGCCACACACGGAATTTCATGTCGCAAGAACTCTTGGACCCAAGAATCGACCTTAGGCATGCCTGGACTAACAATTGCAAAATCTACATTAGACTTGAGAAAGCGAGTGTATGGTGGCGAGGTTGCTAAAATGGTGCCATCTCCAGCTTTTACCACTCGCTTTAATGTGTCCTGCGAAGAATTGTAGTATTGTTATTCAAAATTTTACATGACTATTAAATGGATCATGATAATTTATGACTGAACGAAGTCTACCAATGTGGGCGAAATGCAATCTCCATATATGATAATGCACATTCCATAGAAGGCACCGTGGCCTGTCTTTTCCCTCAACTTACGCCACTTCCGTGGAGCTTCCAAACTGATAGCACCATGCTCTGTGAGGTCATTACCATACCATTCAAAAGGTTCTTCATTCACAAATTTTCCAGCCTCGTTACTGGCTGTTAAGTAATCCATCTTCAGAATCCATCTACATGAGATAAACATACCGATTAGGATGTAATATTATACCCAAAAAAATCTAATCTTGATTCTAAAGCACCATGTTAAGAAAGAAAAACATAATTTTCTGATCCTAAAAAAGGAAAAAGAAAAGGTTATTTGCACTTATATACTCCAAATTTTACTCAAATTTCAACCTTGATACCCCATAGTCTTTTGCCCAAAAAATGGCCAAAAGTACGCCTCATTTTTAACTTTGATACTTCAAAATTAACAACCCCAAGACATGTCAATTTGGGCATCATAGTTAATTTTGTGGAGCATCAGGGTTTTTTTTTGTACTTGAAAAAAAATCTTGGGAGGTATCGAAATTTAAAATGCGGTGAACTTTGGGGTACTTAGTGCAAAAAACCCAACAAACTATAAAAACGAACAAGTTACCAAATCTCCAAGTAAATCAGCTCAGTCGTAAACATTGCCAAGCCATGAAAAAAATGATGGGTAAAACGTATTATGGCCAATTACTCCACTCGACAAATACAACATTAAATCATGAAATTAGAACTGACAGTTGATATGATTACTTAAAATAAATAACAGGTGCCAGTTGAATACCTTCCAGCTGCAGCAGCTGCAAAGAACTTCTCGGTTCTGCGAACAGGTTCAGGAACAATAAAATGTGTAGCATTATAAGACCAATTGTGAGAATCCCTGCAGACTTTTCCCCTTAAACGCCTAATCACTGCCTGAAACTCCTTCCTCTGGAAACGATGCCCACTTAATATAAACCACACAGGTTCAGGGTTTACAGTTCTTGTACAACTGATTGTTTGATCTGTATTGGTTTTTGCTCCAACTCTCCTAGTCCCTTGCCTTGAATTATTTCTGTCGTCACAAGGAACCTTACCATGAGAATTAACATTCGAAGCCAGGGTACCGTTTTCTTTTGGTTTATTCTCCTTTTCAGGATCCATGGCTGCCTCCATCTGACCCACAAGTTCCTTTTTACAATTCTTTGCTCTAACTCTTTTAGTCCCTTGCCTTGACTTTCTTCCGTCTTCACAAGGAACCTTACTATTAGCATGAGCATTAACATTCGAAGCTAAGGTGGCATTTTCTTTTGGATTATTATCCTTTTCAAGGTCCACGGATGCCTCTGTCTGATCCAAAGGATCCCGTTTTGGTTTCGTCTGGTGTTCCATGACTACATCCTTGGAAAATGACTTGGTTGCTTCTTTATTATCATTGACGGCCTCCATCCCAAGTTCTATATCTGAATTTGATTTTTCAGCTTTCCCTGGTTTACTCTCCACTTTTCTTGGAGCGGTAGCTTTATCCAAAGTGCTAGCATCTTTACCCTTAAGGGTGTTTACTGTAGTTAACTGAGGCTTCCAGATCAAATTTCTCCTAGAAACTACCTTTTTCCTGTGTACAATCTTTGATTCTTCGTTAACATTTTCCTTGCATGTGCCAGTACTTGCAGTTCTTGAGAGCTTTCTGGTTTTCCTACTACTAGGCGATGCAGCTCCACCGTTGTGCTGCCTTCCCAGGGGTACCCCAGTTTCATTGGCCATGAATGTCGAATTATCTCGCATTACAATATCACCATCATTTTCAGATTTACCAATCTCCTGAGATTGCCTTGAGCCACCAGAAGTCTCAGATGCCATCTCTTCGATGGGGTTTACATCATTATTTCTTCCAGCGGAGGCCAAATTATTTACACCACTAACCACATTACCAAAACCTGCATCAGCTTCCATTGTGTTTTTTGGCTTGAAACTAGGGGCCATATCTTCTAGCACTCTGTCTTCAGATGGAGAAATTGAAGGACATAATTCTTTTGTTTCAACTGCTAACTTAACTTTTACGCCTGATGGTTGATCCCATGCTTCTCCTTGTTGACAATTCTGCGTACATCCAGTTGAAGGAGAATCTGCATTTCTGGAAAATTTGGACTCAGAAGTTGGCTGCCCTCTTTTTAGGGATCTCCTATTGTAACTCAAAGAGGTAAGCTTTATTGGAGCACCATGTTGGTAAACTTCAGAATTTGTCTTAGCAGCTCCTTCCAATGTACTGCTTGCATCAGCATGGCCATAATGTATTGATGTTGCAGAAGTAGGTTTGAGTCGTTCAAATCTCGTATTTGTAGGACTCTTTGGAGAAATTTTAGGATCATGAACTTCCAGTTCAGAAGATTTTATACTGCTGAAATCAGAAACCTTACGTTTCTGCGGCAAGACACAACTAGCTGTTGGAAATTGAAAGTGATCAAGCCTGCTTCTTCCTTCTAATGGTGAGATGTCAAGCTCACCATTTAAAATGTTTTCATTCAATTCCGTTCTGCATGAATCAGATGGTTTTTCCCTTGCAATTTCTTTCTTTGGAGTTCTCTTAGAGTAGCACAACGTGCTAGATCTCTCTTGTCTGCTTGACACTGAACCGATTTTTGTTGTCAGTACATCAGACAAAGTGATGTTATCCCTTTTCTGTAAGCTAACATCAACTGGTACTGTCAATTCCCCATCTTTCATAGCATTATTATCACTTTTCCGGGCAACACCTCCAGCTTCCTGATGATCAATCTCAACATTGCTCTTTAGGTTTTGCTTAGAAAGAGCCTCTTCAAAACTGGTCTCCTTGTATGGAGTCGAAAGCCACTGGTCTGCTGGAAGATTCTCAGCAGAATGTGGAAGATTTGCAGTTGAACCCTCTTGTTGAATGCTGAGACTTCCCCTGTTAGGGGTATGCTCATGAGAACGTGCAATAACTGAATGTGATCGATTTGCAATTGAACCCTCTTGACGAATGCTGAGACTTCCCTTATTAGGAGTATGCACATGAGAACTTGCAGCAACTGACATCTGACCTTGTTCACATGGAGCTCCTCCAGTATTTCTCTGTCCCATCAACTCCATACCTACATCTTCTGTTTCTTCTTCTGAATCCCTAGCCTCAGCTTCCAAAACCTCTAATTCCCATCCACTGATTCAAGAAAATCAACAGGAAGATATTCAATTTATTGTAATAGACAATACATTCATCAGGTTAGAACAAAATTTTAACCACCATATATGCCTACTCAACATGTTTCTAGCCACGGCATAAATTAAAAAGGTACAGCAGCCAATGACGGAAGGGGTGCAAACTAGTGTTCATTTTGGAATCAGTAGCACATTCGTATGCTACGAGAATTCAACACTATATTTTCTCAACAGTATACGAAACCAAGTGCATTCTTTTGTAAGGACAAGGCTAAAGGACAAATAGATAAGAGTGTGGTTGAACAACAGAAATTTCCTATTCCAAGAAGCGTTACTAAAAACCCAGCATAGCTTCTAATATGATTACAGTTTTTAATTTATCAGTCATGTAAAAATGGACCTAAGATCTAAACAGGGTTACCAGCCTATTAGCAAGGACTTCCTGGACAAGTTCCAAATCATCTATTGCCTGAAACTTATTTCCTTCGTAAAAGACCAGAAAACAAAAGGATGCTAATGTTCCAAGTTAATTTCGAAAAAAAGCTCTTACACTAAATAATAAAGAAGCCCAATTAAATATAACTTCAAACTAAATCAAGGGATATATATCATTAACTAGACAACCCAATAGATATTATTGGCAGTAGTGTTGTCAAGAGGCAATAAGAAAAACAATGCGGAAAAGCCTTAACGTGCCTGATTTGCAAGGCACAGAGAAGAGGAAACCACTGTAGTGAACTTTCTGCATGATATAGACCAAGGTAAATAAACTTAACTCTAAGATGACTACTAATACTAAATTTAAGCTGATTTTTTTTATTTGATGAATTTTCTTTTTGAAATATCAATTAAGAAGCTATGATTTTGCAAACGTGGCTTTTCAAGTCTCAACCAATAACCAGAAAGCAATATTGAAATGAGAAAAAAAAAAGAAAAAGAAAAAAGACAAAGAAAATGAAGCAGAAAAAGAATACAAGGACAAAAAAACAACGGAGAAGAGAGGAGACAACAACATAACAAAGAAACAACAGAAGGAGAAGAATCATAGTGAAAAGATGAATAAAATAAGAAAAGAAAAGATGTGAATAGTTTAGAAAAAAGAAGAGAAGCGAACCAGAAAAAACTAAATGAACCAAAGTCAAAGTAATATTACTAATAATTGTTGATGTCATAGTATCTAGAACAGCAGGTGACTACACAATCAATTTTCCATAGATGCACGACTAACAATGGAGATATGGGCAAAGAAGAGAAAGAGAATAACCGCAGTGGACTCTACCAATGATTTTCTTGCTTGTTTTGTCCAGCCTATTTGAAATAGAATATAGAACTGGAGAAAGACCTATTTTTTTATGTTTTTGCTAGATACACCTGCTCCTGAAATTATCACCAGAATGGCAATATAAATTTAAGTGGATCTATCTGCTTGTAATGGTCCATTAATAAGCAGTTTTGGGTATTACAAGTCAAAGGCGGTAACACTACAACGCACAGTACAAACCTTTTTCTCTCATGCCTCACAAATTGTGAAGTTTTACTTCATTAAACTCTCATGAGCCTTTCTTTTGTCACAAAAGAAAGCAACCTTGGTTGCTTTATTAGCTTGAAGATATTTTGTTAAATTCCTTTATTTTCTTATGTTTATTTTTTGTAGGAGCAACCGTACCATAATAACTAGTAGCATTGCGGCGCACGAGACGCCAGTTCGCTTATGAGTTGTGTCCCGCACATCATGCAAAGCAAAACTATTGAACCTTGGAGTGCTAGACACCCAGTGATACCATTGGTATGTCAGAGACAACATTGAATGAAAGAGACCTACATACTATTCACATGGCAATGTCACAACATTTATTTATTCTATTGGACACAAAAGAGTAGAATTCACATTCACATGTAGGCACAACCTAAGTATAAATAAATTGGAGGAAAAAAGTTGTACTATAGATATAAAGAATTTGGAATGACTGTCTTAACAGATGAAAATTCTGCCATGTTGCCTTTTCTTGTAGATTTTTCATAACCTTCACCTATTTGGAGATTTGTTTTTTGACTGCGTGAGCTTAGACAATATGACTGAGAAGGGAGGTAAACACACCTCTCGACAAGTTATCAAGTCTCCAAGTTCTTCTCAGTTCCCTCACCTACTATTTTGCAACAATACAATAGGATGTTGGTCATACCGACAGCCAAGTGAGTAGATGAATGGTTTTATGGTGCTTTGTTTATTTTGTTTCGTTCCCCATGTGAAACTCATTTTAATGGGTAAAGACTAAACTTAGAGAATGATAAATACATTTATATCAATTTTAATGGGTAAAGCTCAACTTCGTGGTGCTTTATTTATATTGTTTCATTCCGTATAGGGAACTTATTTTCATGGGTAAAGGCTAACCTTAAGATAATGATAAGTACAAAATACTTGTCTCAATTATTAATAAGAAAAAGAAATTAATTTATTTGAGTCTAATTGATAGCTTTGTTGGTGGGGGGGGGAGCGCTGCTAAAATAACAAAGCTA